CGCGCGCGCATGTGTGTGTGTTTGTTTCATTGAATAATACAGGTATATTATGTCTCTTTATTTTTAATCTGATCCTTTACAGTTATCTAATCATTTTCTTGCTGTTAAGATGAAATTCATCAAGGAAATTGCCGTAGTTTTTTTCCTACGCAAGTACTTTCAATCTCCTCCAAGATCATCCTCAGGGATTTATTGCGAGTGTAGCCACAACGTGCTGAAGTGCATTTAATAAACATTGAATGCTATTTTGCAATTCGACCAATATCCGGCCTGCTCCCTTATATTGGGATGCTCGTGTTGCAAAAATAGCATAGCTACAACGGATAAATTTAAAACTTTTGAATCTTTATAACAGAGCGCGTTCATGCGTGTTTTTTAAAAATCACCGTCACAATGAAATACAGATTTTATCACAGTTACAATAAGTTTTCCTTTGTAATTTGCCCCTGTATATTTTTCATTGTTGCAATATCTCATATCATTTCCACCTCAAGCCGGCTATAGTAAATTTAATTCTCAATGGATGCGCTATGAATATGGACTTGTATCAAAGTTAGTTTAGTCAATATATATATATGCGTTTGTGTGTGTGTGTGTGTGTGTGTGTGTGTGTGTGTGTGTGTGTGTGTGTGTGTGTGTGTGTGTGTGTAGTATCTGTTACTGCCATATTTACTTTATGGTAACATTTGAGAAACCTGAATGTTTGTCCTTTTTCGCCTCGTGGTCAAAAACCGTTTCGTATTTCTCAACCACGCCAGAAATTGGTGTCGGAACCGAGTTAAAAGTTTTTCAAATACTGATTGCCAACTCAGACAAGATGTCTCTACTTGGTAACACAATCTTTCTCCCGACATATACTTGTATACAAATCTAAAAGCTCTATGAGGCTACGTTGTGCTGCAGGAAAATAAGTAAATACTAAATCACTGGTGTGCCACCAATCCAGGGTCGAGGATATAGTTTTACACAAATACTTGAATTGAAAGAAATTATTTACTTATATACGCTGCACATTAAACGTGTGATCGGGTTCTATACCCCCCCGTCTCTCTATCTTTCTCATTATATATATATATATATATATATATAAATTCTATATGTATTCTATATGCGCGGTACTTATTGGAAAGTGCTCAATATCAGTGATAGTGCTAACATATTCATTTCTGTGGATATGAGTTTGTAACCCTTGGTTTCACGCTTTTGGGATCATTAGACAAGATTGTCTGATGATTGCAAAAGTTTGAAACCCAGAGTTACAAACTCATACCCATACAACTATATATATATATATATATATATATATATATATATATATATATATATAAACCCCTTTTTAACCCTTTTTTATTTTAAATTAATGTTTCATTCTTCATATAACCCCAAATTAATGTCATAAAATTAATTTTAGTGTTTAATTTTATAAAACTTCTTCTCTTTAAGACAAATACCTTCCACCCTCCCCTGTCTTGTGCCTTGTGCCTTTCGTCTGACTGAAACATTGAAATGGATAAATTCTGGATTAGATTGTTTTTTTTTTTTTTTTTATTTCTGACACGAACTCAGTCCACGCCAGGGTTGATGAGACAAAGTGTTTTCGTCTGCCGAAAGAGGCTATTCCCCATATGAGGTGATTTTGGATTTTATTATTTATTAATTATTTGTTCTGTATTAATAAATACATTGAGGTTTTTTGTGGATCAGTTTTAATATTTTTTTATTACTAGGATCCGCTTGGATTATATACCAACGGATTTGTTACGTTTACTATATATATATATATATATATATATATAGTATACAAAAACTAACATTTACTAAGTTAAGAATATATATATATATATATATATATATATATATATATATATATATATATATATATAAATGAGAAAATTTAACACCCACCAGACAAAGAGAAACAGAGAAAGTAACCTGTTTGAACGGGATGATATGACATATTGACATATGACATAGTGACATATGATATACTGACATATTGACATATTACATATTGACATATTGGCATATGACATATTGACATGTTGACATATGACATATTGGCATATTGGCATATGGACATATTGGCATATTGACATATGACATATTGACATATTGGCGGATTCGTTTCTTATAGATTATCAACCCTTTACAGGTGATTTAAAGTCAAAAAATATTTTTAGATTGTAAAAATTTCTTTTTTGAAGATAATAATGGTTTAGTAATAAACGTCCTACTAATTAATCCATATCAAGGGGGAAGATGTGGATTCATACTTTTCCCAGAGATATTTGTGTATAAATAAATTAAACAAAACCAATTCAAATTGGATCTCGATTCTCTTATTTAAAACTCCGACCCATTATCTATTACACCACCCGCACATCCAAGCTTACAGCACCTGATATTCCCAAGCGGTCATCCATCTAGGTATTGACCAGACTCAATGTTGCTTAACTTCGGTGATCGTACAGGAACTGTTTTTTCTACGTGATGTGGCTGTAAGTCGGTGGTGAAGAAGTCATGCACTTCAGTTGTGAATAGGTTGTGGGTTTAAGTGAAAGAAAAGTAGGGCCATTTTGAATTGTTAATACGTGTAAAATATTGACAATTAGTTTAACAATGAACTTGTAAGGATTCATTAACCAAAACCTAGTTGCTTATATTAGTGCTTCAAGTTATATATATATTTATAAATCTACCTTTCGTCTGTACATTGAATACTACAGCCATATCTGGTCTGGTGTCCTGCTGTATAAGTTGCGAGTCTTGACAACATCCAAGAAAGAATCTGCAATGTAATCGATCCTGACCTGGCATTTTGACTGCAGTCACTTCCTCACCAACATAACATGGCTTCCCTCTGTCTTATCTACAAATATTTTCATGGCAACTGCTCTGAACAGCTTTTTTTTTCAGTGTGCTACTAGATTGGCATTTAGGTCCCACCTGTTTACTATTGAAACAACTAAATGCTACCGCCATTTCTACTCCAACTCTTTCTTTTCTCTCACTTCTCACCTGTGGAACTCCTTTTTCTTACTTCCCTGATAACTACTTGAATTTAAATGCAACGTCAATCGCAATCTTATTTCTTCTTGAACGTTATTCCTTTTATTTGTCCTTTTCCCAGTCCTCCCCGTCTTTCAATCATCTCATTCTATTTCATTTTCACTTCCTGTAACACCCTGATTTCTCGCGATAATTTCGCTTTGCTTGGGGTAAAATAATTAAAAATAAATATACCGGCTGGCTTGAAACACGTTATTTTAAAGTTAATGTGTGACGGAAACGCAATACTAGAAACTGATATCGTTAATCAATGGGATGCCATATTAAATACAGATGACTCGTTCTAATGATGCTAAATATCTTAATTTATTCGATGTTAATTGGCTCATAATTTTTGCATTATTTATTTCCAGTGCCATGGTGTGTTTAACTGAAATGTGTTTTTATCCTCATACCGATTCCATGAAAATGCACCAATCTTCATTGCAGTCTATAAGAGAAAGCAAAAGAACCTGGAAGAAAGATCTTTGAGTTTACTGTCAAGATGAATTGCAAAATATTCCTGATTAAACAATTTTTAAGATTTATTCTTTCGCTTCACGTCAGCTGGAATCAGAATAAATGCTAATGATGATTTCACACATTATGAAATGGACAAAGTCCGACAATTATTTTCAGACATTTTTATGTTTATACATTCTTTTTATAGATACAAATATTTAAGTAAATGCTCTGTTTATAACAAACAGTATTAAACAACATTTACCGGCCTGAATGTCCGAGAAATTGTCATACAATATATTCGTCCTCCGAAAGAAATCGAACCTGTATCCTATACAGAATATGCGTCCTCAAGCTATATGACGATTCCTTATCACTCATTGATTGTGCGTGATTATTTCCCTAACAAAAGGGTGGATCGACGAGCTCATGTTGAGTGACCACCGCAATCACCAGACCCCACACCCTTGGATACTTTTTTTTTGTAGAGCCATTTGAAACCTGTTGTTTATCAGGCGCGCCAAGACATATTGAGGAACTTAAAGAAAGAATGCAGTAAAAATGAGATGACAGAGGAAATTCTCCGACATGGTAATGATTCATGCAAGCATACAACTGAAATGGCTTTTGAAAAAGAAGGAAGACATTTTGAACAACACATATAAAAATTAAATAACTAGTAAATAAAATTTTCATGAGTAATTATTCTTTTAATAAAGTATACTTATGGAGCGCAACTTTTGCCTCACCCTGTCTATAGACTTTCATGTGTAACATATTTCTACATCATAAACTTTCATCATTCCGCTTCCGATAAGGTAGAAATTCAAATTATTTAATAACGATCGGGAAATTATTTCTTTAGTTTAATATTAATTAGTACTGATAATCCTGTTTAAAAAAATGAAGCCAGAAACGAGGACTAAGAAACAGTTCTTTTATTTTTTTTAACTGCAAAGCTTTTCAAAGTCTCGCTGGCGAGAGTTCACGGTAGTGGATAAGTGAATGACTACTGGTGAAATTGTCCTTTGTTTCCGACTCTCAGTTGTAGCTTTGAGGCGAAAAGCTTTGGAGAATCGAGAACGATCGATGCAACTAGTTACCTCATATCATTCTCTGCATCAAGGGTCGGCAACCTACGGCCCGCGGGCCGGATCCGGCCCGCGAAGGCATTTTGACCGGCCCGCGAGCCTGATTACCAATGACTCTATTTTTAACATGAGAGACGAGGCCTTCGAATTAGACTATCTGCCAGTTATCTTTCATGAGACTTATTTTACCAAGTTGCGTTGCCTACGTTTAATGTCAAATAATGGATACATATTTGTTATGACCCTTGGCTATATTAAAAGATAACAGAAGCAAAAGGAACGATAAAGTGAAAGAGGCCAGGGAGGGACTGACATGCGAGGTAGCAGAAATCTAAAGACAGTTAAACATACGCGCATTAGACATACATGCCTCATGAATGTGTGGATGATACCGCATGTGTACGTACGTAAGTATATATGTTTGCAACTATTTGTACTCGTATGTATGTGTATATATACTTCGTTTTTGTTTGATGTGTGTGTGTGTGGTTCGTTTGTGGAACAATTTTCAATAACAGTTTCAAACCTACACGTCATAATTTCATCCATTTCACTTCGGTTGATTTTTTTCACTTTGAAGTATTTTGACGTTCCTTAAGGAAAAGTAATTTTTGTTAAGTGTTTTTTAATTTTAGATTTTCTTTTGTTTTTCTGATTTCTCAATGTTTATTTTCATTATGGTTTTAAATGTTTAGGTTGACAGGGGTCTGCATATGTAATTTTCCCTAATTTTTTTATTAATGGCCTTCGTCCGGCCCGCGACCCATCATTATAACACGATCCAGCTCGCGGGGTCGAATGAGCTGCCGACTCATGCTCTACATCTACACTATTTTTATATTTAGTTTTAGTAATGAAATATTCTGGAGGGGGATGCATCCATGACACCAGACCGAACGCAACGCCAAGATGACACTTTTCTGTTCCAATCTATCTATCTATATATATATATATATATATATATATATATATATAATTATGCTCATATTTGTCGCCCACACAATATGTCTTTCTTTCTTTTCCTCTTTATCTCTTCTTTTTTTTTTCTCTATATTTTTCTTTCTTTCTAATCTTTCACTTTTACTCTTAGAGCCTGACATTTTTTGCTGACAGCCAAGATGGCGGTATTATCTTGAAGTTCTTCCAAAGCAACCAAAACAACAATAGCCAACACAATCAAGCTAAGGACACACGACCGCCTCTTTATTTCATTTTTTTTTTTACTTGTCTTTTTTAAAAATATATATTATTTATTTATTATTTTATTTTTTGTTTTGTTTACTTCGTAATAGCTTATTTATCTCTCTTTCTTTTTTCCCTGTTATAAAAAGTAAATAATTTACAGGATGTAGGGCAAACTTGCTGAGATTAAACTTTTTGTTTTTCTAAATATCTAGTTAAGAGTAATGGATATGGTGGTTAAGGCTGACCGACGAAAAAAAAAACTATTCTCCTGAATGAAGGGAAGAGAAGGGAGATAATTCTCAAAATTAAGTGAACTTAATATCTGCAACAACAACAAAATGGCGCCGAAGTATTTAAACCTTAATAAAATAATTTTACCTTGATCTAAATAAAATGACTAATCTGCTTGCTTCAATGTAATTTCTTTTTCTCTCTTTCTCGTTATCTTTCATTCTTTTTCTCTTCATCTCACGTTCTTTTTTTTTATTCTTGTTTCTCTATTTCTCCGTCTCTCTTTATCACACACACACTTTCTTTCTCTCTCCCTCTCTATCTTTGTGTTTCTCTCTATCTCTTTCGCATATTTTTTTCTTTTCTCTCTCTCTCTCTCTCTCCCTCTCTCGCCTTTTTTCACTATTTCACTTTACTTTTCTCTCTTTATCTCGCGTTCTTTCTTTCTCATCGGGAATTCCTCGTGCGATAAGTGCGAGAAAAGTAAGTGTTAACTTAGAACTAGCAATTTCAACTATAAAATAATGGGACCTATCAGCTAATCGAATACCATGCTTAAATTCTTAAAGTCGATTAAAGTACCACAGAATCGAACCCACAACCCGATTGTCTTTTAGGCTGGGCTGTAACCTATTGGACGATGGCGATTCAAACCCTCTCAATATTTCTCTAAATACGAGGGCTATTCAAAATGTGTTAATCCCCACCCAAAAAGAAGAGCCATGTCTGCATATTTTTTTTATTGTGACATCACCCTACCTCTTCTGATACGACTTGACAAACTAATTCAGATTTTTGTCTTAATTTCTGTGCAGGTGAGGCCCATGCAAAGGTGAGAGGTGTGCGACAAATCTAAAAATGAACAAACCTGGGGTTCGAGAAATAAATTATCTGCAAAAGAAAGATCGGACACCCAAGGAAATCAATGAGGTCATGGTACAGGCACTTGCCGAGGACACACCTTCCTATGCAACTGTGAAGAAGTAGGATGCGGAATTCAAACAGGGCAGAGACAGCACAGATGACTCAAGGTCGGGTCGTCCAATAATCTCAACCACTGATGAAGAAATTGATGTCATTCACCGTATGGTTTTGGATGACAGACGTCTTACTGTCCAGCATGTAGCTTAGTCCATGGGCAAAAGTTCTGGTTTAGTCCATACTGTTTTAACTGATATCTTGGGGATAAGCAAGCTGTTTGCACGAAGGATTCCAAGAATGCTGACACGAAAGCAGAAGCTGAAAAAGGGTTGACATTTCCAGAACACTTCTGACTCGCTTCCAGGCTGACCCTGAGAATTTCCACTGCAGATTGGTAACTCAATGTGAAACCTGGGTTCACCATTTCTAACACGAATCAAAGATTGAAATATTAAAAATTGATGAGTGTACGAATAATTTCTTCGTTGACTGTATTCGGCCCTTCAAAAAGTGTGGATGGTCCTGCACGAAACCTTCATCACTATAATCGAATCTCATGTGC